GATGAGCTTGCCCTGTTCGGTGAACCCATTTGCATCCCCGGCCTAGAAAGCCACAAGCCCCAGCTGTGTATTGTCAACAGAAAGGGAAGCCAGGACGGGCTGCACATGATCACTAGGTCCTATTTCTGAACGAACCCCGCAAGAATACAGACAGGGATGCTATATACCTGGGCCCTCCTCCTAAGTGTGCATTTTTGTGCTGTTTGGGCCAAAGGCTCCTTTTGGTGCACACGACACATCTTTTTGCTAGGACAGTTTTGCGGATTTTGCTGTATTTCCGAAACCGGGATGAAGATGCAAAGGCGACATTGCCCGACCCAAAGGCGACATTCCCCGACCAAAAAGCAACATTTGCCGACCACGTTCTGGCAAGATTTTGAAGCGGCACTTTTGAAAGGAAAAGGTTCTTTTAGGAGCAAACGACACAACATATTGCTTTTTCAGCAAGCGGCAGACACAAATGCACACCTGGAGGGCCTAGGTATGCCCCTATTTTGCGTTTTTGTTTTGAACACCCCCACGCTGCAGCGCTGTAAACATAGATTTGCCTGCCGTGGTGCGCAGAGAATGACAAACTAATCAATAGGCATTTCAGGAGAGATGCTGATCCATACATATCTCCATCCTTTCCTTTGCACAGTTATCGGCAAGACTGCCAATCCACAAGCAATTTGGGTGAGAGTTGTTCTGACATAGAAATCAAACTGCATCACGTACCTCTTAGTCATGAAAGCACCAGCTTTAATTCTTCTACCTACACTGCTTAAACAATCGAGGGGTGTGGAAGGGGTGGGGGGAGGGCGGAACTAAAACGGCTCGGAACAGTGGCACAGGAGGCTGGAGCTTGCCACTTTGCTTCTGTTTCTGCACGAAACGTGTGCTGATCTGAAAGTTCCTGATCGACCTCTTCTCTGGATCACCCGCTTGCACAAATCAGATACCAAACGCGCTCCAAGGGATCCATCCATACACGCAGACTGCAGCAACCCAGCCAGCTTTTTCGCCCTCTGGCGCAGTGGGTGCAAATCTGCGCTATGTCCCATGTTGTAACGCGCTCGAAGCGATACGAGTCATTTTCTTTCGGTTCGAATCAATTCATATTGTCTAGAATTGAAACTGTTTCGGTACGAAACGGTACGATTCACTGCCATTATTGCCTTTTGTTGCGATGAGGTTCGATTTTTATCGAAGCACGCCCAGCAAGAATTGAACCTGCAGCCTGAGCTGAAGAGCGGCCGGGTCAGACTTCTGACCCGGCCGTCCACACAGCAATCCTTCTGGCAGGCGGGGCTGGTGCAAGGCAATTGTTCAACACTTCACGGCGGCCTCTTTCAGGCGGCCTCTTTCAGGTGGCCGCGATACGCTCCAAGCCTTGCAGCTTACGCAAAAGCCATTAGATCAGGAGTCAGAAATAGCAAAAGATTCCTTCTTTCAAGTTGCTGAAGGATGTGCAAAGCCAAACTGCCACTGCTTGGGTCCGTCTCTGCGCTGCTGGATTCTTGAAAGCTCTGGTTCTCAAGTGTCTGCAGGAAACTCCACGCCTGGCTAGCTTGGGCAACGCACTAAGATCTCTCGCCTCTCTCCCGCTCAGATGAATGACGCTCTGTGACCAGTGACCTGTGTTGCCTACTGTGACCCAGCTGTGTCATAACTGCCATGCCTCGTGGGCTCGTGTTCCTCATGACCTGCCTGCCAAATGCTTGAGCCAACCCCGCCAGGAGCGTCTTTAGTTAGTTTGAATAGAACTCGTGCATGTAATTAGATATCATACAGGATTTACTTAGAGTTCCATTTGTTGATTGTAGAGCAACTCCTTTCCGAGCAGGACTTCAAGCAGAAAGGTCGGGCTTCCATAGGATGTTGTACGGAAAGACAAGCTGGGTGGTTTTTCAGTTTGCCTACCCCTTACCCCAAAACGAAGAAGCCTCGAGAAAACCAAAAGAACCTTGCGGAAAAAAGGAGAGAACACCGCAACACAAAACAAAAGAACCATGTTTCCAGGACTCTGTCAACATGAGCTGTGTTCCAAAACGTGTCCAATCGTGTGTGTATGTTTCTCGGTTGTTTGTTGTGTCTTTTTGCTTTTTGTGTTTGTGTGTTCTCGTTGTCTTCTGGTTTTCTCTAATCTGCCTGGTTTTGCTTGAGTTTGCCAAGACACAATGAGCAAAAAGCGCACTACCAGGGTCCCCTTTTCTGTCGTTGTGTTGTAGGCTGTTCGAGCGGCAATCTGCCCGCGCAGAGAGCACCCAATTGAGAATGGAGGTAGGGATTCGGATTGGCCCACCCTCCATTGTGGGCAGCTCGGCTTGTGGAATGATTTGGGGTTGTGAAACATAGAACAAGCATGGACCGATTATAGGGGACGGCAAAGGCGGGCCAACATAAAGGGTTGTAAAGAGGGCCCATGCTCGCGCAAACATTGTGAGTCGGTTGTGATATTTCATGGGATCCTACATGGGGCTCTAGCCAAATGGGCTCGAACAACCAGGTCCGGCTTGCATCATAGGACAACATGATGTGTAGAATCCTAGAACTCATTTGTTCGAACCCTTCAATGGAGGTACCTTGCATTGGATTGCAGCACAACACGTTGTACATTGCATGACTGCAACAAGTGTGGTAGGACATGACACACTTTTGATGCACATGTTTGCTGCACTTCAGAGAGCAGCTGTGTTTTGTGCAAACCCATCTCAGGTTGGTTGATACGGCAACGAAAAGGAGGCCACAGTTTCTAGCTTACGAAGCCGTTTTTGACAAGTTCCCACTAAACAGATTGAACCGAAGAGTTTGCCTTGCAGCACAGCTCAACGAGAACCAAGGTACTTGAGTCTCAGTGAGTGCGGATTTTTCCTTTGGGACACATGCGTCACACTCGGTCTGGTGCAAAAGTTCTTGTACTTCACCGTCGCGATCGCTGGCACGATCGGTGCGCAAGCAGGTGCTTTCAGGTTTTCCTGACGCTTTAGGCTTTGCCTGTCACAATCTTCGATTCGGCTCGGCGTCGCATGACAGCGCCGAGTGAGACAAGGACAGTTCCAGTGCCTTGGCCTCCAATCGATTTTCTTTTTCTGTACAGAAACTGATGCATCCATTCGGTGTTGGATGAGTTAGCATCAATCGTTTTCCCCGACAAGTTAATGGTGGCGGCCAACTGGAGAATAAAATGGTTCCCTGGTTCCAAAGTCTGCCCAACGTGTCATCCAGGTTAGATGTCAAAAGGCCAGCTTACAAGCTCGCAGATGAAAGTTGGCCGGCATCGCTTGCGGACTCGCGGATAGAGCCGCTACGCTCCGCGTAGCTTCCCGCTCTCTTCGGTGCCTCTCAGATCTGAAGGCTCTGGGCCTTCGCAGGGCTTTTCCCACGAGGAATCCTCGTAGAGGCCGCCCGTTACAAGGCATGCCGTGCGCTCAGAGTGTTCAAAGGATGAGCAGTGTGACACTCTTTTTTGAGCCCACCTAACTCCAGAATCCTGTGCATCCACCTTGCCTGCTTCCATTTATGAATGAGAGTTGTTGCATAGCACTCCTTAGTGAGCCGCATCCAAGGGCGCGCAAGACCGACAACTTGTTTTATGAACAGATTTCTGCGCCTCACTCTGCAATTGGCAGAGCTGGAGCAGGACTCCAGAGCTTCGGTTGGCGAGTGGAACCTCCATTTTGAGGCACAGAAAACGTTATCCGCTATACCAACGTGTCGCAAATGCGAACCAACAGGTTCAACCAGGGTTCCCTATATTTCCTTTACACAGCACCCAAAGACGACTCGTTCAACAATTGCCCCAAATACAAAATGTCTAACATCAGGCGCCGTTCAGGGAAAACCAGGGCCCTGTCGACGCTCCTAAATGGAGATTGTATTTTTTGAGCTGAGGATAGGCCATTTTCTCCTTGATCCGTTTCGACTCTTGTGCGAAGTTTGCAATGCACAGAGAAGCACAAGAAGGGGGGACGCCGAGTAGCGTGCCGCATCCTGGGCTGTCAATTGTACGGCTGTCAATTGACAATATCCAGGCTCCTGCAGAATGGAGTAACACGGCACATGGTTGTCTGATGTTGCAAGCGAGCGAGAAGTGACATTTAGGCAACCGGGTTTTCCCAGACAGTTGCATAGCTGTCGTTGCAAGGCTGACAACCACAGGCGAACCAGGCCGAACATGCACCTCCATGGCATCGAACCGATCGCTTGGAGTGAGTCTCGCCTTCGTTCCACGGCGCCCTTAGTGGATGCAGTCTCTCACGGATGCCGAAAAATAGGCCCCAGCCGAGTTCTTGCCAGCCGATGCCGTTCTCCAAGGCTCGGATTGGATTGTAGCCAAGTATATTTTGTTACACTTGATTTCTTTTTGAAGGGTTTTGGGCTGTGTTAGATGTCGCTTTGTTTGCTTTGCTGCAAAGGAGCGCATCGGTTATATTTGTTTACCAGAGTCACCCAAAAGACATACCTTTTCTTGAAGCTTTTGCTGATTCCCTGGCATACCAGTACACGATAGAGCTGTTCTAGGCGTATGTGTCATTGCTTTGTGTGTGTGTGTGCGTGTGTAACCCAGAATTGCACACACTTCCAATGGTGATGCCTGACTTTGGTGTAGTACCCGAACTCCTATTGTAATTATCTAATTAGCCCTTCTGCTATGCTGGCAGTATGCTTAACGTGTCTCGTGAACTGTCCTTTGTGCTTTTGAGTTCAATGACCACTTTCCATCAGGCGCCATGTCCAGGGTTCTGCTTTGCATCTGCATTGTTTATCAAGATGTATTGCCTGCTCCGGAACGCTTGCACTTGTTTTTATTCACGCAAGGAATCGTGCGTCCAGAAGACTAATTGATGGTTAGTCCAAATGCCTCCATTTGCTTAAGCATAATGTAATTTTATTCTGTTCGTTTTCAATGGAATCTATCACTACTGGACATATGTGTACTTTTTCGCGGGGACTTCAGCAAATGGAGGAATGCCCGAAACTCCTTGAAAATACCCACGGCAAAACTGGCAAAGCGCCAGGCTGTGAACGACTACACACCCGAGGCTTTTAATTGCACTGTGGGCAGGGCTGGGGCTGGATAGGCTATATTCTGGTGACAGAAGGGAATGAGGGAATGATCCGAAATTGAACCATCCGTGTTGGTTTTGGAGTCACTGGGTTCATTCCCAAAATGCTCAGTCGCAGCTAATAATAGCTTGCTATGTGTAACCAATTGAAGCTCGCATGTCCCGCTGCTCTCTTGGATTGTTTTGCTGCTTTGCTTAGCTCTGGCGGGGGCTTGCAATGTGACAACAAGTATGTGAGAATAATGACCCAATGCTGAAGCTAAGAAAGTACACCCATCACGGATTGGAATGTTAGCATCTAGTCATGCGTTCCGCAAATGTGCAATCCCTGGACATGGTTGAAATTGTCCGCCGTTCCTTGAATTGTGACATACATATACGCATACATGTAATATACAAGACATATGAGGTAATATGCTTTAAATCAAATATACAACAATGCAATATGAGTGGATACGACTGAATATAATGCCATACATCTGTACCATGATATGCTACAATATGACATGATACTATACAATATGTAGTACTACCATGCGATATTATGTGACATGACATAGGGTAATATAGTGTAGTACCATACAACATGATATCAGATAGTATGATATACCATAAACAATATATGTATATATAGCATGATGTTATATGATGTAACATACAATATGACATGTCATACACAATGACGCACACACTGTAATATATTACACCAAAATATAACACACCATATCATAACACAACCCCTTCACTACAACATGCTATAATTAATATAATACACTATATCTACATATATATATATATGTATATTATATATGTACGTCCACACATAGACACATACACACACACATTCCAGACATCATTGGAACTTGACGTACCCGCTGTTTTGAAGAGCCTTTGCCAGTCATCCTATTGGACGAATCGCATGTTCCATAGTAGTACGGGGTGCAAACAAGGCACCATGTGACATTTGCTTCCAAAGGAGCCCCTCAGAAGCTTGAGGATCATTTCAGTCTTCTAGACCCCTCAATTTGAACCCTCCGGTGCTTCTTTCTCACAAAGGTCAGTCCCCAGATGCTTTGCGCTGCACTGAAGGTCCTATCCACTGTAATACTTGATTCATGCTCATGATGACATTTGGTTTTTTCAAATCTGATGGTGTCATTTCGCAGGATCGCTCAGCTTCATTGATCATGACACGTGGCAAGTCCACAGTCTGCTTACTTTTCCTGACCAGTCTCAGCAAGTGAGAAAGGCTTGTCACGCACAACAGCTTCAGGCGCCAGCACGAAGCTGGGTAGCGCAAAGCTCCCATGAGGCCAGGAGTTGTGCAGCCGAAAGATCAACTTGCTGGATTCCCAGCAGAAAGGTTTGTTCAAGTGAAGAGTTTCCTCTTAAACTTGCTGGTGCTCAGTAGGGAATTACCCAGAGTTTGGGAATGAACCAGAACGGAATTCCTGAGAAAAGGAAGCCATCGCAGATCATTTATAGGGATCATTCTCTCTTTCCCTGCTGAGAACCTGCAAGAGAAAGGGGACACTCTGCATGAATCAACTGGGGATTTATCAATCCTGGGTTGCCGTGGCACAAGTGCTCCGAATCGAATGATTTGGCTTGGCGGAGATTTAAGATGCACAAAGAGAATCACCAGCAATTTTCTCACAGCTGTTGATAGAAGGCCACGTGTTTCTCTTGACTGGAGGCTTTTTTGCTTGGTCGAGGTGGGATGACTGGCTTACTGTACTGGCTGGTGTGCTGACTGTGATCCATGAGTCGCTGCTAGCAGTGTAGATCCCGCAGTGTGCCAAGGCCACTGACACGCTGCTGTGTTTCTTCTGGGTCCCTGAAAGTGGTCACGAGTTGAGGAGTTCTCCAATTTCGTGATTCATTTATTTGTTTATTTATTTTTAATTTGTCATACATCTAGTTGTTTTAATAACAAATCCTAAGCAGAAAAGACGACCATGTTTTCGTTGCCAAGCCTGAGCAGCGTTGTCCAGCGACATTGTTGTGTTTCTCCCCTGATATGACTATCATCACTACAGAAAAAGCAAGCTTGACGATGACAACTGCCAGCACAACCCGAACAACAACACACCATCACCAACCATGCCAGCAACAGCAATGCCAACAACAGGAGCAACAGCAACCGCAACAACAACGACAACGACAATAGTGGCGCGAGCAACAATAACGACACGAACAGCAGCGGCAGAAGCGACGACAACCACAACCACAACCACAACAACCACAACAACAACGACAACAACAACAACAACAACAACAACAACAACAACAACAACAGCAACAGCAGCAGCAGCAGCAACAGCAACAGCAATAGCAACAGCAACAGCAACAGCAACAGCAGCAGCAGCAGCAACTGCAACAGCAACAGCAACAGCAACAGCAACAGCAACACCAACAACACCAACCACGCCAACCACACCAACCACACCAACAACACCAACAACACCAACAACAACAACAACAACAACAACAACAACAACAACAACAACAACAACAACAACAACAACAACAACAACAACAACAACAACAACAACAACAACAACAACAACAACAACAACAACAACAACAACAACAACAACAACAACAACAACAACAACAACAACAACAACAACAACAACAACAACAACAACAACAACAACAACAACAACAACAACAACAACAACAACAACAACAACAACAACAACAACAACAACAACAACAACAACAACAACAACAACAACAACAACAGCAACAGCAACAGCAACAGCAACAGCAACAGCAACAGCAACAGCAACAGCAACAGCAACAGCAACAGCAACAGCAACAGCAACAGCAACAGCAACAGCAACAGCAACAGCAACAGCAACAGCAACAGCAGCAACAACAGCAACAACAACAACAACAACAACAACAACAACAGCAACAACAACAACAACAACAACAACAACAACAACAACAACAACAACAACAACAACAACAACAACAACAACAACAACAACAACAACAACAACAACAACAACAACAACAACAACAACAACAAACAACAACAACAACAACAACAACAACAACAACAACAACAACAACAACAACAACAACAACAAACAACAACAACAACAACAACAACAACAACAACAACAACAACAACAACAACAACAACAACAACAACAACAACAACAACAACAACAACAACAACAACAACAACAACAACAACAACAACAACAACAACAACAACAACAACAACAACAACAACAACAACAACAACAACAACAACAACAACAACAACAACAACAACAACAACAACAACAACAACAACAACAACAACAACAACAACAACAACAACAACAACAACAACAACAACAACAACAACAACAACAACAACAACAACAACAACAACAACAACAACAACAACAACAACAACAACAACAACAACCACCAACAACCAACAACAACAACAACAACAACAACAACAACAACAACAACAACAACAACAACAACAACAACAACAACAACAACAACAACAACAACAACAACAACAACAACAACAACAACTACAACAACAACAACAACAACAACAACAACAACAACAACAACAACAACAACAGCATCAGCATCAGCATCAGCATCAGCATCAGCATCAGCATCAGCAGCAGCAGCAGCAGCAGCAACCGCAACCCACAACCCAGAACCCACAACCCACAACCCACAACCCACAACCGACAACCGACAACCGACAACCGACAACAGCAACAACAACCGACAACAGTAACAGCAGCGCCGCCAGCGCCAGCACCAACACCAACAACACCAACACCACCAAGCGACAGCAACCAACACCAGCCGCAACAACAGCAGCAGCAACCGCAACACCACCACCGCCGCCTCTAACAACAACAACCACCACAACCGGCTTCGACAACCGACAACCACCAAACGACAACGACCGCGGCGACAACAACAACAACCGCAACAACCACAATGACCAACAACAACGATAAACAACAACCGCAACAACCACAACCGCCACAACCATCGCAACCACCACAACCACCACGACCACCACCCCCAACCACCCTGGCGACGGCAGCGACAAAACGACGACAGCAAAACACCAGCAACACCAACAACAGCACCAGCAACTGGCACAACTTCCTCAACGACAACCGCAGCAGCAGCAGCAGCGGCGGCCTTATTGAACAGTTGCATGAATCAAGGCCGTCGTGGCGGCCCACGCTTGCATTCTGCCAGAAGGCCTTTAATTGACAGCTTCCCGCGCGCGTCAGCATAAGCCTTTTGGTGTCATTTGTCCTGGGTGTTGTTTGATTTGTTCACTGTGGTTCATGCTTTCTTTTGTTGTTGCTACACTGCTTTGTTGCTTCCCATTGTGGGTGATGATGACCATGGTTGCCCTGACTAGAGATCACCGCTTAGCAACTAAAGTGCTTCACGTTGCGGCTAGCGCGTTGCACAGCATGTAGGGTGCTTGCAACAACACCTTCGTCCGTGTCCTGCTCAGGGACGGGGCGTCGCTTGTAGACTTTGCGTTGCTGTGAGTGATGTGCCCGCCCAGAAAATTTTGCACCCCTGGCGTCACGTTGTTCTATGGATTGAGTTGTGGTTCTTTGCTGTCATGGCAACCCAGCTGCCCAGAGCTGATGGAGTGGCTGTGCCGTCATCGCGCCGGAGGCTTTGGCCAGAAGGTGGCTTTGAAATTTCCACGTCGTGCGGGCCAGTGCCGCCGAATCCAATTCCGCGGATGGAGTTCCAGCGACCCTGCTACATTTGAGCCCCGACAATCAACATTAGTCAACTCTCATGTTCTGCAGGTTTGTCATTGGCAACGGCCGGCAAGGCCCAATAGATGCGGCTGGGGCCATTTGAGCGGTGAGACCAGTGGAGCGAATTGGGAGTGTGACGGTTGTGCGCTTATAGCTTGGAGCTTGCGTGTGATGCTG